ATATATAATAATAAATTTTCTAAAATGAAATACATATAAAATTAATCAAATAAATTGAAAATATAACATATATATAATAATTAATTTTACATACTGAAATATACACTAAAATGAGAAGGAAAAAGAAAGAAAAAAATAGGAGAATCTGTTCTGGACCGGAGAAAGAAAGAAGAAGAAGAAGAAGAAGAAAGAAAAAAGAAAAAAATGAGAAGAACTGAAGAAGAAAGGAGAAGAAGAAATTACCTGGACTGGAGAAATGGTCAGCAATAGTCGAGCTTGAGCGAGAAGGGGTCGAGCTTGAGCGAGAAAGAAGGGGTCAGCAATGGCGAGAACCCTAGGTTTTGTCGATGTCTCTGTTTTGTCGAAGGGGTCTGTTTTGTCGATTTAAGGGTCTGTTTTTTAGTTTTATTTTTATTTTTAAAAAGGGCCCTCTGCGCTTTTTTAACAGAAGCGATCGCTTCATCGCTTTCCTCACTTCGTCGCTTCGTCGCTTCGTCCATTGAAGCGTGCGCTTCCCTCGGTCGAGTCGCCTCAGGCAGCTAGAAGCGATACTGGGTCGCGTCGCGTCGCTTCGCGCTTAAAGCGACGAAGCGATCGCTTTTCTAAACACGGGTGAATGTGATCATATTTAATCTTTTATCTTATCTTGTATGACAACACATCCATCTTAGCATCCGCATCTCTACAATACTCATCTTGTGGATATGTTGGACTTTAGCAGCCCAACATAAAATATTTACTACTATATAACATTGCCGGTCTTAGCAGTCCGGCGTTCGCTACCATATAATATTTAAACCGAATTAAGTTATTATATTATCAAAACTGGATAAAGGAAAATTTTGGTTCAGTTTTTACACAATTATGAACAGTCCTAGGCACTGGCTGTCTCAACTTCAGGTATCCATTAGCAATCAAAGCTGCATTAGTAATTTTCCTTCCCTTAAACTTTACCTTATTAAAAAAAAAACAATGGTCATTTGAAAATCTAGAACAATTTAATGCTGAAACTTTCATCCTTTCTACCAGCATGTTTGGAGATAATCTTACACACGCTCACACTAGGTTGTTAGGCTATAATCCTTTCACCCCAAATACAACTTTCTTCATGGAAATTAGAGCTATGAAGGAATTATTAAAACTCTTTCTAAACAATCCTCTTTGATAATAGAATTTTAGCTTCCAATGCCATTTGTATAACCACTGTGGAACCTGAGCGAAAAGCCGCTGGGCTCTAGATGTTTGTTTCCTCCACACCCTTTGATGATAGCTTCTACTTCCTCTTCTTCAATGGTCGTTGTGGTCAGTCATTATTGTATGTTGTCTTTGGAAGATCCTCATTCCTCATAATCTAGCATTAATCCATGATTTGAATAGGTCATTTGTGTTAGAAATCCAGGTTATAACAATAAATTTTCTTCAACACAAAGATGTTATTAGAAACTCAAAATTTTTTCCTTTAATATCTGGTTCTTCCACTGTCTTTACTCCTGCCAACCACCTCCACCCTTTATAATTCTGTTGTTGGACCCTCCTATTTGCATTTGCAATCCTTTGAAAAAAGAATTCTGTTTATCCCCACACGTATATCACAAAACACTTTATCTCTGTCGCAAATATATTCCTCCTCTGCCAGTTTTTGCAACTCCTCCAGTAGGGAACTTTTTCTGCCTTAGTTCCTCATCTGTCAAGCTGTAGGTTTTAGTTTTCCAATCTCTCAATATGTTCAAAATCTGTCTTCTTGGTTTCTTCCTGTCTATGAACGTTCCAGCTCTGCTTTTTAAAGATCTCTCTTAACAACTTTTCAGCTAATATATAATTGGTCCCGCCTCTTAACTCTATTGGAAGACCACCAGTTACTAGCGAGATCCATAAATCCATATGCATCCACTAATTCTCAAAATTAAAATACAAATTACTTATTCCCAATTATCACATCCAAAAGTATAGTTTTGTTTTGTTGTGTCCCTGGATGCTTTGATCAATAAAACTACCATTACTTCAATAAAAGTATAGGTTTGTGATATGATGTTGGATTATGCAAGGTGTATTGCTTGATCTTCTTAAACTGCTCATCCTATTCCAATGAAAATAAAATCTATTAATCCTGGTAGCTGCTGGTCTATCACCTCCTTGTAACCCAGTAAATCTACTCTCCTTAAGTAGGGATCAGATTTAGCTTTGGGATGAAATTTGAGAAACCCTCACTCAATTTAGTCATATTTGGCAGGTTTCACTTTCTGCATAACACAAGGAACATTGAAAAGACCTTTTATTGCTGCTCATTCAAACCACATATACTTCCTTTTCCATAAAATTGTGGCCCATTAACTCAATAAAGGACCACATTTGCAATTGTAGTTAACACTTGAAAAAGTGACAGAAGTAGAAAAGTGTTGTAGTGTGTGACCACCTAATCAGTAATCATGAATTTTTAAAGAGGGACATTTTGTTTGTTTTTTCATGTTATAATATGTTTCCTCATGTGCAGGCCTAATTCCTTTCTTTGACCAAACACCTAGAGATAATTTTTTTCCGTAGATAGCGGTGAGACCTGAACCAAGGACGTCTGCCTGCATTGATGCCATTTGAAGAAAGAAAAGAAAACCTCTTATTAGTTTGATTGATTAACAAGGTACAAGAGGGGTTTCTTATATAAGATTCTAGTCAAATGTACAGTATAATATGCAATCATTCTCTATGCCTAAGACGGCATATAAATATTATATAATTAAATGCATAATATCCTTATATACAACAACAACAATAAAAAAACCAGTGTTACTCCCACAAGTGGGGTTTGGGAAGGGTAGTTAGTATACAACCTTACCCCTACCTTATGCAGGTAGAGAGGCTATTTCTGATAGACCTTTGGCTCAAGACAAACATACATAATCACATATAGAAAGAATGCAATGGTGTGAAAGTCAAGGAAGCAGTAACAACAAGATAGTAGAAAATCCAAAACGTAAGCAACATCAAATAGTAATAGAAATTTAAGAGTATGGAAAAACTAAAGTACATTACTACTACTAGAATAAAGGGAGAGACGCTCGATTGCCTACTAATCTTCTACCTTAATTCTCGCCCTCTAGACCCTCTTATTAAGGGTAGGAGGGTATTGAGGGTCATGTCCTTGGTAAGCTGAAGATGCACTATGTCGTGCCTAATCACTTCCCCCAATACTTCTTCGGCCTACCTCGACCTCGCCTCGGACCCGCCATCGCCAATCTCTCACACCTTTTTACTAGGGCATCTGGACATCTCCTCTTTACGTGTCCGAACCATCTCAGCCTCGTTTCCNCGAGCAACCATTGTGGAGTTGCTCCTCTCATGGTGATTAAAGCCTCCACCATAAGTGACTAACAATCTTCTCTAAACCTTGAATTTCTTGCTATTATTTGCCAATTC